ATTGAACCGTTCATTCAGGTAGAAGAAGAAAATGCGTCTGGTGAGCAAAGCCTGAAAAGAATATTTTTTGAAAAACTCCAACACAGGCTTTCTTATATGGTGGGTGATGCTTTATAATGAGCTTTGTAATTGCCTTTTACTGATTATTTTTTCCAGGTAGAATCTTTAGTATCTCTGGATAAGCGGAGAAGAGTTTTGCGTTTCATAGCGAAGTTTTCCATAAACCAATGGAAGAGGGGAGTATCTGATTTCCTCCATTGTTTAGTGGAATATTGTGAATCTGTGAGTGACTTCCAATTGCCATACGACCGAGTTAGCAGTTTGAGAGCAGCTAAACCTATTTCAGTTATCTTGTTGTGACGATGTTGCTGTTCGTCAGAATATCTGCACATTGGTAGGATTTTTGCTCAAAGAGCAGGATGGCGGCAGTGCCACTGAAGAAAGCGTAATGTCAATTGATATCAAGCGGAAGTTGTATTCGATTTTACTTGAACGTCAACTCGATAAGGTTAGGTAATTCTCTGTGTCATTCTGTCATTGAATTCCAATCTTTGTTATAGGTGACTGCTGTACGCTCCGAAGTCATCCTGTCAGTTGCAGACATTCAAGATGATGAAATTCCCAACGATTTCGTTGAGGCCCTTGAACGAAGTCCTAAAGATGGTGGGTTTCCATAATATCACTCCAAGGCCTGCTAAGTTGGCTGCTCGACCTCCTCGATCATCATTTTATCGTTTCTAACTGTGTAGCATTCCTTATCTCGTAACCAGCTAGGATGGAATGTGTTTGGGAACCTCGCTAATTTGACTGCTTCTTTCTTATGGTACAACAACTTCGATTTAAAGGGACATTCAATTGGTGGGCGATAAACTTCCAACTGAGGCTTCTTAAGTATATCGCGGAAAGTAGCCTTTGAGACCCTTCTCTGAATTTGTTGTTTACTTTTTGGCTAGTCCCTTTTCTATACGTATGAACACAAAATTATCTTCAAACGAAAGACTCATTAGGAATGTTTACCACAACTATGGCTCCGATTATTTTGGTTGAGGGTACCCCTATTCATACGTTCATGTTATAGTGATATTGATGGGATTCCGCGACATTGCTGCGGACTGTCGACTAGTCGCTGTATGTGCACTTCATGTCGTAGCTTCTTCACATGCCGACTACCTTATTGAGCTTGCATCTTGTGATCCAAATAGCAAGGTAGTGCTGACAACTGCTAATCCTTTGTCTTTTTGGTCCAAATCAGCTTTCCCGAGTATGTACGTTTA